GCAAAAAAATTTTTGTGGTCGTATATTGGTATGACGTTGGCGTCGTCGTCGTCCGGCGTCGTCGTCGTCGTCGTCGTCGTCGTCCGGCGTCGTCCGGCGTCGTCCGAAGACACATTGGTTTTCGCACTCTAACTTTAGTTTAAGTGAATGGATCTTTATGAAATTTTACCACAAGGTTCAATACCACAAAAGGAAGGTTGGGATTGATTTTGGGGGTTATGGTAATAACAGTAAAGGAATTAGGGGCCAAAAAGGGGCCAAAAATAAGCATTTTTGTAACTTCCAGACATAACTTGTGTGTTAGTGTATGGATCTCTCTGACATTGTACCACAAGGTTCCATATCACTAAAGGAATGCTGGGATTGATTTTGGGGGTAATTGCCTCCAAATTTTAGGAATTAGGGGCCAAAAAAGGGGCAAAAAACAAGCATTTTTATAGTTTCATGACAATAACTTGTGTGTAAGTGTATGGATCTTTCTGAAATTGTACTACAAGGTTCCATATCACAAAGGGAAAGCTGGGTTTGAGTTTGGGGGTAATTGCCCGAAACGTTTAGGAATTTGGGGCCAAAAAGGGGCCAAAAAAAACATTTTTTTCTAGTTTCCAGACAATAACTTGTGTTCAAGTGTATGGATCTCTCTGAAATTGTACTGCAAGGTACCATACCACAAAGGGTAGGCTGGGATTGAGTTTGGGGGTGATGAATCATAATGGGGGTTCAAAAAATTTTGGGGGGGGATTTATTTTTTTTTCCTTTTTTGTTTCTTTTAAAATTTTCCATTTTAAGTTGGTTATTTCTGATTTATATTTAAAATCAAATAATAATGATATGGTAGGAGATACACACCAAACAGGATGTGTAAATTATTATATAATAAGTATTGTGCAATAGCAAGAAGTTTTCAATTGCACAGTATTGCACAATAGCAAGAAATCTTCAATTGCACAGTATTGCGCAATAGCAAGAAATCTTCAATTGCACAGTATTTCGCAATAGCAAGAAATATCCAATAGCACAATATTGCGCAATAGCAAGAAATTGTCAATTGTACAGTATTGCGCAATAGCAAGAAATATTTAATAGCACAGGATTGTGCAAAAGATACTTCCTATAAATTGCTTATTTCTTGACCAATTTCAATGGGGTTTTATTCTTGATTTCATGGGGTTCTTTAATATGCTGAATCTAACCGTGTATTTAGTTTTTGGATTTTGGGCCCCGTTTTTAAATTGGTCCACATTGAGGTCCAAAGGGTCCAAAATTAAACTTTGTTTGATTTCATCAAAAATTGAATTATTGGGGTTCTTTGATATGCCGAATCTAACTGTGTATTTAGATTCTTAAATTTTGGTTCCGTTTTCAAATTGGTCTACATTAAGGTCAAAAGGGTCCAAAATTAAACTTAGTTTGATTTTAACAAAAATTGAATTCTTAGGGTTCTTTGATATGCTGAATCTAAACATGTATTTAGATTTTTGATTATGGGCCCAGTTTTCAAGTTGGTCCAAATCAGGGTCCAAAATTAAACTTTGTTTGATTTCAACAAAAATTGAATATATGGGGTTCTTTGATATGCTGAATCTAACCATGTATTTAGATTTTTGATTTTTGGGCCCCGTTATCAACTTTGTCCACATTGAGGTCAAAAGGGTCCAAAATTAAACTTTGTTTGATTTCATCAAAAATTGAATTATTGGGGTTCTTTGATATGCCGAATCTAACCGTGTATTTAGATTCTTAATTTTTTGTTCCGTTTTCAAATTGGTCTACATTAAGGTCTAAAGGGTCCAAAATTAAACTTAGTTTGATTTTAACAAAAATTTAATTTTTAGGGTTCTTTGATATGCTGAATCTAAACATGTATTTAGATTTTTGATTATGGGCCCAGTTTTCAAGTTGGTCCAAATCGGGGTCCAAAATTAAACTTTGTTTGATTTCAACAAAAATTGAATATATGGGGTTCTTTGATATGCTGAATCTAACCATGTATTTAGATTTTTGATTTTTGGGCCCCGTTATCAACTTTGTCCACATTGAGGTCAAAAGGGTCCAAAATTAAACTTTGTTTGATTTCATCAAAAATTGAATTCTTGGGGTTCTTTGATATGCTGAATCTAACCATGTATTTAGATTTTGGATATTGGACCATAATAGGTGAATGTCCAATTTAAAATTTTTAAGTTCTTAGACCACATTCAATCTGTGTTAGAAACCTATGCTGTGTCAAATATTTAATCACAATCCAAATCCAAAGCTGTATCAAGCTTGAATGTTGTGTCCATACTTCCCCCAACTGTTCAGGGTTCGACCTCTGCGGTCGTATCAAGCTGCGCCCTGCGGAGCATTTTATTGAAGAGTAAAAAGAATAAAAAACCTACATCAAATATTTATATTCATGCAATAATTTTCACCTTGTCTGTTATGTCACTGTCACTTCCTGTTTTGAATTGTTATGTAAAAAAATGTATTGTTATATTTTTTATTCCCTCTGTATTAAGGAATGGTTACTATTTGAGTTTTTTTGAAAGTTTTTAGATTTCTACACTTTAAGTGATTTTCAAAGCCAACTTTATTTTATTTTTTGCCACTTTAAAATTATTTAGGCTATTATAACAAATTTTTAGAAGTTAGCATTTAGCTTCTCAGTTCCCCATTTCTTGTTTTTGCCAGTAAGACAGTACAAAAAAGAAAAAGAAATAACAAGTATATATGCATAATGTCATCTGTTGTTTTTGTATTTTCAGATTATAGCAAGGGATGCATGATGCAAATTAAATCAGAAGATTCAACCATCTGAAGAAAAACTGAGCATTGGCGGATCCAGGGGGAGGATTCCAGGGGTTGGGCCCCCCCCCCTATTCTGAGTTAGGAACCCCCCCTTTTGAAAATGGCAGGATTCGCCCCTGCTGAGATCATCTTTAAAAGTCAAACCGCACTTTTTAAAATTCAGCCGGACTTTTTAAAGTCCAGCTGAACTTTATAGAGTCCATATTTTTGCCACAAATGCTGGCTGGATTTTTTTTCAGACGTACTTTTATTAAAGTCCAGCTGGACTTTATGAACCGGACTCCTGCTAAATTAAATATTTCGAGCCGGTTTACGGCTAACTTCGCTGAAAGTCCAGCCGGGTATCTATTATAAGCAATTCAAAGAAAAGTCCAAATGAATATTATAAGTGAGGTTCTCAGTACGGCTACTGTCCGGCTGGAGTATGTGTCATGTTTTTCATACGGGTAATAAGCAAACTTCCCAAAAAATCAAGTCAAAATCTTCAAGCATGACGAAAAAAACTGTTGAAACTTATTATTTAAGTGAATTTTCTTTGTCCAAAGACCATAACTCTGCACAAAATTATCAGACTGGAACAAAATTCCAACTTGATCTGTAACTTGTCATGATAAAACTATATACTTATTATTAAATCAATATCTTTAAGAATGACAAACAAAGCTACCACTAAATTCTTCAAACAATTTACCAAAGAAAAGGAAAAAAATCAAAAATGTCATTTTGTCTTTTAAAAATCTTTAAAAAATGAGTTACTTCCCTTTGAACAGAAATCTACTAATTAATAAGTATTTCATCAAAAATTTAATTCTAGGGAAAGGGCTTTAACTGAACAAAGAGAAAAGCTAAAATCGTGAAAATTGAACTTGACTTGTAACGATAAATCAATAAACCAAATATCAAATCAATATCTTCTTGCAGGAAGAAAAAAAGTCTGGAAAACTGATTTGCCGGAATGACAGATGGACAGACAGACAGACGGACAGAGTGCAAACCTAAAGTCCCCTTCGACCTTGTCGGTAGGGGACTAAAAATTTGAGTAACACAGAGCAATTAAAAAATTATGCTGTTATTGTTTTATTTTCTAATGAATCCTGAGCTAGTATGAATAGTTATCCAATCCTTGCACGCATATTTTTATTTATATTGGTTGAATTTGTTCCCATTCTGACTTTAATACAACACATTTTTTTAGATATCTTTAAAGGCACCATCTTACAGATAATAGTAAGCAATAATAGTAATTTTGTTTTATATTTTCCATGCCTTTCCATTTGTTAATTTGAGTTTATCATAACATTTATTAAATGATTTGGTGTATTTAATTTGTTCTTTCAGAATCAATTACAGCTCTTTTCATAATGCTAGCAAGACAAATGTTTGTTTGTATAAATGTTTGCTCAAGCATTGTAATTAAGACTGACATCTGCAAACAATATAAGTAGGCGGAGTTAAACCTGTGTATAGGTAAATTTGATTATTTGATAATGTCCAATCAAATTTAAATATAATGTTTACAAGTTTAAATCCGCCTTTTTATGTTGTTTTCAGATGTCAATCTTAATTACAATGCTTGAGCAAACATTGACACAAACAAAGCAAGCAAGCCAAACAAACCTTTGTCTTGTTAGCATTATGAAAAGAGCTGTAACACTATCTACCTTCCAGGGCACTTTTTTTTACCTTTTCTTTCATTAGGTTTTTTTTCCTTGCACTTGAGCTGTGCGCTTGCCGAAATTATAACAACAAGTCTCATGGTTAAGGTCATTGCATATAGAAAAGCTGTTGGCGAATAAGAGTATGGGAGGACATATAATTCAATTGCATTGCATTTTTTGAAATTTTGATAAGATTATGGATTTTCTTTAAGTTCATGAACACTAGTTTTATAGTAAAACTATTAGCCATTCAATTATATAAAACATATTCACCTTTTTTTTACATTTCAAGTTTCACATGACTTTTGAGTTTTCTATCAGTACAATGAAGGTTTTAGACAGAATTTCCCCCTCTCCTCACTATACAAATACAGCAACTCTAAAACAATTCTTCTAAGGAAATTTTGAAATACACAGACAGTTGAACAAATAGCAACATCTCTGCCAAAGTTTCATTTGATTTAAATTTTAACTATACAAAAAAATCTCTGCCCACATGATGTTAGTGGAATATTGTTTTAATGAATCCAAACACAATTCATAGACAACTAATGATTTAATATTGAATTTTATTATAAAAATAATATATTGAATTAATAGTTTTTTTCAACAGAACACAGACAATTGTATAAATATTGCATTAAAGTTGTTAATCGGGACTAAACAATTGTGTTAATATATTTATATATGATTATAGTAAATAACAACACCCTTAAACATATTTCTAATGTGAAGACATAAAATCTCATTCTGTAATTATGATTATGATTATGACAGTGCAATAATCAGAAAAATAAAAGATGTTACCTCTAATGTGTTTTCAATACATCTTTGGATGACATAAATAACTTCTTATATATTGAACATTTATCAGTAACAGCCATCATACTTTCTTCTGTTAAATCTATGCAATTAGTGATATTTGGTCCAAGCACAACCGGTGAAACAAGCAACACTAAATTATAAGTTTGAAGAAAAAAAACAGTATAAAATATCTGCCAACTAGAAGCAATTCAGATAACTACTGTTGAAAACTTGGCTGCTACAATTCATATCACTCCTGTCATCCACCCTTATATATATTCTGCAGAACTTTTATGAAATTGAAAAAAAGAAAATCAGAAATAAAGTTTCCAAAAATAACAAATACATTTTTATTTTAATAACTTCATTTTTTACCTTTATATTCATTTTCATAAACAATGTTCATATTTCTATAAGACAATTAATTAGTCGTGAAGTCTATCCACTACAAAAACGTGAAAAGTTACCTTTTTTTCTTTTTCAGAGTTGCTGTATATTAATAAAATTATTTTTTTGTTATTAAAAAAGAAGATTCAATATGTTTTTCAATGTTGATAATTGCTTCTACAATCTGTCTTTATAATGTTCCATTTTCACTTTATTATATAACATTTTCTGACTAAAAAATAACTAAACCTGCAGATCTCTTCACTTTTTCAACATTAGATGATACAATGACTTACAGTATTTGATTATATGCTCAAAACACATGAAACTTAAACTAAAATCTTGTGACATTTTCATATAAAATCTAAAGCATTTATATTTCTTAGTTTCAAATTTATGTCTGTGCTGCTGCATGCCATTCATGAGTTTGACGTCTTGGTGTTTCCCTTGGCGTTCCTCTTGGTTGATAGTAGTCCTCATCACTTTCAAAGCCTCTGATTTGTTTCTGTGCAATATATGGTGCATACGGATCATGATCATATAGATCTGATCCCCAGCTATGGGGATAGGCTGCAAGCATTGGTCGTGGATAGGTCCTATTATCATACATTGGATTCCTATAGGGAGCATCACTTTCCATATCATACGTGCGATTGAACTTTTTCCTTTCAAGATCTTCAGATCCGCTTCTACAAAAAAAGTACTTTGAGTAACAAAAGTTAACAAATCAATAAAAAAAAAACCAAACTCGAACTGTTACTTCTTATACTATGACAAAACAAAACAAGAATGTGTTCATAGTACACGAATGCCCCACTCGCACTATCATTTTCTATGTTCAGTGGACCGTGAAATTTGGGTCAAACTCTAATTTGGCATTACAATTAGAAAGATCATATCATAGGGAACATGTGTACTAAGTTTCAAGTTAATTGGACTTCAAATTCATCAAAAACTACCTTGACCAAAAACATTTAACCTGAAGCAGGACAGACGGACGAACGAAGGGACGCACAGACAGAAAAACATAATACCCCTCTACTATCATAGGTGGGGCATAAATATCAAACAGACAGATAAAAGCATTACAGAAAAGAATGCTGAAAACTTTCTGGAAGGACAAACTTGCAGAATCTCCTACAGCTTTCTATATTATATAAGGGGCTAAAAAGCTCGAAGTCTACTATGAAGGCTGAACACAAATCATTAAAGAAGAAGGTAAATCAACTGGAACAGAATTCTATTGCTAAAGGTAATTACTAATTCAACAAATCCAATATATATCAGCATTAATAGCTGAAAAATAGTGATTATCATGAAATCTTCCAAGTCCCATAGCTGAAATTGGCCTAAAAGTATTTAACTATGACAAAAATTAAGATGATACAATAATACATCAAAAAGGCACCTCATTATAAAAAAAATCCCAAAAACATTACATCGTCAGAGGACTGAAAAAGGAGGAGAAATCTGTTTTTTTTTAATCAATAAGGCCTATGGTGAAAATTATGTCAAACTAAACTGAAACTGAGAGGTTGGTCTGAAATGAGTGTTATATAATTATAACCAATATACTGGCTCAATATTTACAAAAAAGACTGACTATTTTATTAAATATAAGTCAAAAGTTCAGGAATAAAATTTTAAATTAGAAACCACAAGGACATAATTTAGTACTACATGAAAAGTATGTCAATGATAATAGCCTGGATTACCACCTACTTAATTTAAAAAGTGTACCTCTACTCTCTTAAATCTTAAACTTGACCATGAAATGTAATATTTTAACACTTCATAATCACATCTAACTACCTTAACATGAAATTTGAACAAAGTCTATCACCTTTTCGAGCCAATTTTAGATATTTTATATCTTGATGAATTCTTTGATGAACTAACACTGAAATATCTAATTGGCTTCAAACCAAACTACTTTAAATATGAAACCTAACAAAGCAATGGAGACAGATGCATAGAGCATAAACCCTCCCTATTCAAGAGTTCCAGGAAAGTGGTCGTTTCAATGGTGAGGTGAAAACAAGAGGCTCTCAAGAGCCTGAATCGCTCACCTGTATTTCAGAGGAGATTTTTAAATGTTAGCAAACTTGATGAACAAATTGTGTAAAATTGTCTTTAAAGGGCAATAAACTAGAGGCTCTCAAGAGCCTGTGTCGCTCACCTGTATTTACTGATGCTTTGGAAATCATGTAAAATAAGGTTAAAATCATAATTAATAGTATTAGATATTAGATATTATAATGATATTTAAGATAATAACAAAAAACTGCAAAATTTTTGTAAAATTACTAACTCAGGGGCAGCAACCCAACAACGGGTTGTCAGATTTGTCTGAAAATTTCAGGGCAGATAAATCTAAATCTGATGAACATTTTTGCCACCTGTCAGATTTGCTCTAAATGCTTTAGTTTCAGAGATATAAACCAAAAACTGCATTTTACCCCTATGTTCTATTTTTAACCAAGTCGGCCATGATGGTTGGAAGGCGGGGTCATCGGACAAATTTTTTAAACTAGATACTCTTATAATGATTATGGCCAAGTATGGTTAAATTTGTGTCAGTAGTTTCAGAGAAGAAGATTTTTGTAAAAGATTACAAAAATTTACAAAAAATTGTTAAAAATTGACTATTAAGGGCAATAACTCCTAAAGGGGTCGACTGACAAATTTTGGTATTGACAACTTATTTGTAGATCTTACTTTGCTGAACATTATTGCTGTTTACAGTTTATCTCTGTCTATAATAATATTCAAGATAATAACCAAAAACTGCAAAATTTCCTTAAAATTACCAATTATGGGGCAGCAACCCAACAACAGGTTGTCAGATTTGTCTGAAAGTTTCAGGGCAGATAGATCTTGACCTGATAATCAGATTTACTCTAAATGCTTTGGTTTCAGAGATATAAGCCAAAATCTACATTTTACCCCTATGTTCTATTTTTAGCCATGGCGGCCATCTTGGTTGGTTGGCGGGGTAATCGGACACATTTTTTTAAACAAGATACCCTTATGATGATTGTGGCCAAGTTTGGTTTAATTTGGCCCAGTGGTTTCAGAGGAGAAGATTTTTGTAAAAAGCTAATGACGACGGACCACGACGACGAACGCCAAGTTATGAGAAAAGCTCACTTGGCCCTTTGGGCCAGGTGAGCTAAAAACTGCAAAATTTTGTTAAAACTACCAATTCTGTGGCAGCAACCCAACAATGGGTTGTTCGATTCGTCTGAAAATTTCAGGGCCGATAGATCTTGACCAATTAAACAATTTTACCCCTGTCACATTTGCTCTAAAAGATTTAGTTTTTGAGATATAAGCCAAAAACTGCATTTGACCCTTATGTTCTATTTTTAGCCATGGCGGCCATGTTTGTCGATGGATACAAACTTTGGATACAATTTATTAACAAGATACCCTAAGGAACATTTAGTTAAAGTTTGAAGGTAATTGGCCCAGTAGTTACAGAGAAGAAGATTTTTAAATGTTAGCAAACTTGATGAACAAATTGTGTAAAATTGTCTATAAAGGGCAATAACTCCTTAAGGGGTCAATTGACAATTATGGTCATATTAACTTTTTTGTAGATTTTACTTTGCTGAACATTATTGCTGCTTACAGTTTATATATATCTATATTAATATTTAAAATAATAACAAAAAACTGCAAAATTTTGTTAAAACTACCAATTCAGTGGCAGCAACCCAACAATGGGTTGTTCAATTCGTCTGAAAATTTCAGAGCTGATAGATCTTGACCAATTGAACAAATTTACCCCATTTCAGATTTGCTCTATAAGCTTTAGGTTTTGAGATATAAGCCAAAAACTGTATTTGACCCCTATGTTCTATTTTTAGCCATGGCGGCCATGTTTGTTGATGGATCAAAACATCAGATACAATTTATAAACTAGATACCCTAAGGAACATTCAGTTAACGTTTGAAGGTATTTGGCCCAGTAGTTTCAGAGGAGAAGATTTTTGAAATAGTTTACGCCGACAGACGCCAAGTGATGGCTTAAAAGCTAAAAAGTTGGTGATATTTTTCTATGCATCTGCTTAGTAATCCTAAAATGCTGACTTACATATGGAATGGTTTTAACAGATTTCCACTTAAAAAATTCAACAACACTTTTCTATTTTGACCTTTCTCAATTTGCTGAAAATCTATGGTCAGCCGTCATTACCCTTAACTTGATATTTCATTAAAATGACATATTGTTGATTCCATTAATATTAGTTGATCCCAAATATAACTAACTTTATGATGTAATCATGTTAGATTGTGTAGAATTAGATCAGACCTGAATAAAGAGCTGCGCCATAAGCGCATGATAAGTCCGTCCCATCATATGAGAAATTTATAAAAAAACTAAAGGGAGGTTGTTTTAATAGATAATAAAATGCTTCGCTGAGCGCAGCTGGATACCACTGCAGAGGTCCAACCCTGAACAGTTGGGGCGAAAAATGGACAAATATTCGTGCTAAATGATACAGGTCTGAATTTGGATTGTAATTAAATATTTGACTCATAATAGGTTTCTGACACCGAATAACTGTAGTCAAAGAACTAAGAATTGGTTATATGATTTGAATTTATATTCAAGTTTTTGCTTTTGTGCAATACACTATGCTGTTGTGAATTGATCCCCCCCCCCCCCCCCCCAAAAAAAAAAAAAAAAAGAATTTACTCCCCTTTTTTTTACTTTCGTGAAATACACTATGCTTTTGCGTATTGACCCACCCAAAAAAAAAATATATGAAGAAATTTTCTTTTTAATTTCTGAAATCTGAAATGAAAAAAAAAATTGCCCTCCAAAACCCCCTCCCCTCTTTTCCAAAAAAAAAAAAATTCTTTCCCTCAAGATATGGTCATAATCTCAATTCAAATTTCCAATGGAGTTTGCAACCATAATTACCAATTTAAATACATCATAAAAGTCTTAAATAGATAATTTAAAAGCAGTGTAAGGGAGGTAATCCAACATTGTACAATTTTGATTTTGGATTACCTCCCTTACACTGCTTTTAAATTGTCTATTAACCTGGAAACCCTTGTTTTTTCCCCTTTTTTGTCCCTAATTCCTAAATGGTTTGTGCCATAACCCCCCAAAGCCAATCCTAACCATCCCTTTGTGGTATGGAAACTTGTGGTATAATTTCAGAGAGATCCATACACTTAAACACAAATTATTGTCTGGAAGTTACAAAAATGCTTATTTTTGGCCCCTATTTCCTAAACTGTTGGTACCATAACCCCCAAAATCAATCCAAACCTTCCTTTTGTGGTATTGAACCTTATGGTAAAATTTCATAGAGATCCATTCACTTAAACTAAAGTTATTGTGTGAAAACCAATGTGTCTTCGGACGACAATGACGATGACGCCAACATCATACCAATATACGACCGCAAAAATTTTTGCTGTCTTATAAAAACCAGTCACCAAAGTTTCATGAAAACTGCTCAAAGTACTTTTGATTTATTGTCTGAAAACTGGAAAATCACCCCTTTTTATTTATGAATAAAATCCCATAACTCGGAAACGTAAAATCTATAATTTATAAAAATAGAAAGGGAGCTCACATCAATAGATATAAACAATTCACCAAATTTCTTGCAATTGGTGAATGCGTTTTTGAGTTATTGTCCGAAAACTTGAAAATCCCCCATTT